TGTGGCCCATGAAATCATTGAGATTATATTATGTGGTCCATGAAATCATTGAGATTATATTATGTGGTCCATGAAATCATTGAGATTATATTATTATGTGGTCCATGAAATCACTGAGATTATATTATTATGTGGTCCATGAAATCACTGAGATTATATTATTATGTGGTCCATGAAATCACTGAGATTATATTATTATGTGGTCCATGAAATCATTGAGATTATATTATTATGTGGTCCATGAAATCATTGAGATTGTATTATCATGTGGTCCATGAAATCATTGAGATTATATTATTATGTGGTCCATGAAATCATTGAGATTATATTATTATGTGGTCCATGAAATCATTGAGATTATATTATTATGTGGTCCATGAAATGATTGAGATTGTATTATTATGTGGCCCATGAAATCATTGAGATTATATTGTGGTCCATGAAATCATTGAGATTATATTATGTGGTCCATAATATCATTGAGATTATATTATTATGTGGTCCATGAAATCATTGAGATTATATTATTCAAGTTGCTTTGTTTCTCAGTTCCTTACAGTAGCTGATGTGTCTATTCTTTCTATTGAAGTAACATATAACATCTGGGTTGGTGAGAATTAGCACTGGATATCTTTTGCAGGCCAAGTTGACATTGTCTAAATTGAGCAGCTGACCAATACCGTGAGAAAACAAAGGTCATAAGGTATTATTTTCAACTGAACATGAAAATTAAGTTCATCTGTTGAATTCAGGTGCATTTTCTTAGTTCACTTCTACCTGGAGTACTATGAGTAAAAATTTATTGTAATATCACCATGCTTCTTATATGTTTCCACATTTTTTGATCAATCAGTACCCATCTTGACACAGTGATACAGGATGATGTGAGGAAGGTCATGAAGGGGTTGGACCCCCATCTTATAGATAAATAAATGTCAATATGTGTGTGTATCTGTTTCTTATACATTTCCACATTTCTTGATCAATCAGTACCAAACTTGACACAGCGATACAGGATGACACGAGGAAGATCGTAAGGGGGGTTGACCCCATCTAATTTCATATTGATAGAATTCTTGAAACAGTATGTCTTTCTTTTCAGTATTGGTACCTTTATGTATTTTTATTGCACTTTTAATGTTTATTGTGTTAAGAAAAAAAATAGAAGCACAATTTCCTATGCTTTGTTAAAAACGAGTTTTTATTTCACACGTCCATTGGACAGGTACTCCAGCTAGTCTTCTATAAGTATAAATAATGCAAGCCTTATATACAAAAGCTTTGATGATCTCACGATATTTATTATAATTTATATGTACATCCCTAATTTGAAGGTCTTTCGCAGAAAAATTGTCGTAAATTGGTATTCATTACGAGTGAAGGTCATTCTGATAAGCCCCCCAGTGGCTCAGTAGCATGTTTGAGGACTTATAACGCGAAAAATCGGGTTTCGATCCCGTGGTGTGCACAACACAGATAGCCCATTGTGTAGCTTTGTGCTTAACTACAAATAAACGTTCTCAGAAATAGTGTCGTAAATCAATACCCACTAGTTAGTGCTGGTGTTTTGAAGTCAGTAACTATCACCTTGTTTCTCTTTCTGATTAATTTCTAGTTAACGAATCATGTGCTCGTAAAAAAACACGTTTGTTATAAGAAGCGGCTGTTTAAATAAATGGACTACTGATTAAACTTGCCATTGTCAACATCTGCCTATAAGGAAAATCGTCTGGAAGGTCCAGACTAACGAGGTTTCACTGTACATTATTGTTTTGTATACACGAATATTAATTTTTAAATTATTTGGTAATGTTAGTCTTAGCAGCTTGTTCTTATTCAATTTTTGTAATACTTTTATTTAATTAATAAATTTTTTTTATACAAACTATTTATCATTTGATATATATCTGAAAAATATTTTGCAAAATTTGGTGTTCTAACAATATCTGGTTATAAAATCTTTGATTCAAGCTAGTTTGTTTCATATGTCCCTGATTCCCATTTTATAAGCAGAGAACTTATTAATAATTTTGAATAAAACATTCCAGTTTGTCTACTTCATCTGTTATAACATAATGCAGCAATCAAACATCAACCAACAATTTAACAGTCTTTGGTTTTTGAAGAAATAAAATTACTTTCGAATTTTATCAATTTTCATTGTTTTTTGTCACATAACATGCATAAAAATGTTGTTTATATGTAATTTTACTTTTTATTAGGAATAGCAGTGATTCCAGCCTTACTTCAGCTTTGTTTGTTACCTCTTTGTCCTGAAAGTCCCAGGTATTTGCTCATTTCTAAACAACAAGAATCACTCGCTAGAGATGGTAAGTGTGTAAATTGTTCTTTGGTAAGACAAAAATTACCACTTACACTATAAGAAGACTATCACTAGGTCTATCTAGAAGTCTAGTTAATGAAGTATTTTAATATTTTCAGTTTGATTTGTGTTTCTTAGAGAGAGACTGTAATGTATAACAGCATGTTGTAATGTTATCTCAGTTTTGAAGGATACGAAGACATAAACTAAATTAATTTATTAAAATGAATTGATAAAGTCTGTAAATTTGTTTAATAAGTTAACAAATTAATCAAGCTTACTAGAATTACTGTGACTATTCTCCAGTAATATCAAATCAGTTATGAATTTAATATGATTCAAATTTGCATTTAATTGTTCACCACGTATCAGGAAGGAAAAAAGCATTTTATTTTGTACCTGACTCTTCTGTCTAAGGCAAAAGTAAAATCTGTAAAATATTTTCATCAGTTACATGGAGAATATGTTAAGGAAGCAATCTAGAGTGATTTATGCTACGGTCATGCCAAGGCATAGTGTTCCTAATGAAAACATAGAAATATCAGCATCGTTAAAACGTGATATTTGTTTATACAAAAAAAGTAAATCCAAGGGCAAGCTTTGACACCATCAGTAAATGTCCGTAAAGATTTACAAATGGTAAGTTTCGCCTGATCCACTGTTTCCATGGAAAATTCCGTCACGTTGTCACCCTCTTATATATATACCAGACTACCCTATCGAGGAAATGCTAGGGCATTCATGAAGGAACAAGATAGTTCTAGAAACGTGGCGTCACACTAGTCATGTGACTTCGCTGACGCAACAATACATTAAACTCAATTGTGATTGAATAGTTATATATATATATGTTGATATATGTTAATTCTTGCCTATGAAAAAACTGTATACACAATCAACTTGTCAGTTTATCATTCTGTAAGTCGTCAATGGTAATAAAAGCTATATAGTCAAAATAGCTTTTTATTATCTTCATATAAAAAGTGATCTTGTTCAAACCAGTGACTTACTTACGGAGTACAAAACTTAAAGATCAGTTATGTAACAAGTCACTTTCCAAAGAAGGATTTAATACAGCCAGATTTTGGGCTTTTTTTTTTAAGCTTAGCGGGAGCTTTAAGCAAATGACGTATATATATTACGTCATCATCTTTACATATATCAGAGTTTTGTTTGAATCAAACGATGATGTCTTTAAGGTTGTACTTAGACTGGCTGGCTCGACCGGTGGGTCATTATCGATGTCAAATTCACCGTCAACACATTCTTAGAGAGGTACGATGGAAATGATGTCTTTAAGGTTGTACTTAGACTGGCTGGCTCGACCGGTGGGTCATTATCGATGTCAAATTCACCGTCAACACATTCTTAGAGAGGTACGATGGAAATGATGTCTTCATCTGACAACTCTTGACTAGTTGGTTCTGCTAAAGTCGATGCTGAACCACTGAAATAGCATCATATCTTAATGTCTAGTAGTAATGATGTTATGCCATTAACGACTTCTTACATCTTAACACTTTCACTCTCCACAGGCTGCGGCAATATCGTGACATCCTTGAGGCAGTTATTAACAGGTCATATAATGTCGCCTTCCCTTAGTTTCATATATTTCTGACAACATTCACCTAACTTTATGTAAAACAAGCAGTCGTAGTCCAATGAGGTGGGAGATTTGATTAATAATTTAGCTTGAGAAATCTTAGTAGTTGCAGGATTGTCACTACAAACTAGCACGTGATTCAGAATGTTTGATGTTCCCACATGCCTCGTCTCCACCCGCCAGCCTTCTTGGAGTATATTCTACACATACTCTAGATTTACACACGTCAGAATAAGGAATGATTTCGTGTTTAAAGACCAAATAGTCAAACAAAACCGCTCCACTGACATTTACATGTATAAATGCTCTGAGTATTCTGTAGTATAAAAATAAGATCTACTTCAAGAAGACAGGCAGATGAAAGGTTTGTGGAAACATCAAACATTCTGAATGACGTGCTTGTTTGCAATGACAATCCTCTAACTAATAAACAGTTTCAAATATTGGAACTGTAGAAATTTAACTTGCAGGAACTTTTCTGGACTTTAAGCGTAACCTCGCATGTTTAATTTGGTTTTTGGTGGACGAGAAGTGACCTGAATGCATTTCTGCTATCTTTCTTTTTCGTGTATTTTGACATTGACGAATTCAATGGTAGATTCACAATAGATTCAGTTTGAATTAGCTGTGGGCTGATTATTCTTTTATACGGAGACAGAGTTCCTCAGTGGCCGTATAGTTGAGGTCTTAAAATGCACAATTACGTCAGTTACCTAAAACATGTGTCCAAACACTTAATTTTATTACCACCTTCATATTGTTTGTTCTTGTATAATAAATTATCACTATTTGGCTAAGAGAATAAACATAATATGATGACTTCAATCAACTTTTGCTATATGATAATGTATTGATTCAGAAAATAATACTTTTTTTTCTCTTTTTATTGAATAACAAATATTTTCCGCTTTTTTTTGTTATTATTATTCAAATTATTATTGATTATTAATGAATCTTATCCCTATTTTGCAGGCACTCTTAATCAGCTAGCTTTAACAATAGGGCTTTTCCTCTCCCAAGTATTTGGGATTCAGTTTCTTTTGGGCACGTCCACGGGGTGGCCATATCTCTTGGGTAAGTCACTACCGGTCAACAAGACCGTATCTTTCATAGTATTTTTTATTGTGTTCCTTCACTGTTGAACAACAACAACCACAAAAAACTTGATTGTTGTTGATTCATTTGTTTAAACCACAACATCGCTTTCATCTCCAGCTTCATTATCTAGATTGACTATGGTTAATTGTATAAACTACTATAATAAAGGGGAAAACCTCCTATGTGGTTAAGCCTTAAATATATGTCATACATTGTACATTATATCAATACATAATACATGTACTACCCAGAGCACTAGTATAATTCACGTGTGACTCATCCATCCACGGGTATCTGTTTTTATTTACAAAAATATCAGGTATTGCAGGTAGGCTGCTAAGCCTTTTTTTAGACACTAATCAAATCATTCGAATATTTTACAAGTAAAGAAAAAAAAAAGGAAGTAAATGTAGGAATGGCAAATATTAATCCTTCAAAAAACAATGCAAACAAGATAGTACGGATGGAATTTGCATCATTCATACATAATAGCACAGGCGCACAATGTAGTAGAATGTTAACAGACGAAACTAGGATACTGTTACGTCTCCGTTTGTTAATTAACTTTCCGTAACTTCGTTCCGACGAAACTTTAGCGACACAAGTCCTTACTTAATAAAACTGGTTTATTCTTTCCGAATATAACTTTACGATACACTCAACTTCAACAGTCACGCTATAACAAACTATAATAACGACGTTAACTTCAACAATACGTCTCTCTCTGACCGCAGTTCAATTACTCATTACCTACACACACTAATATACACAAAATACCACAGAGTACTCTATGGCCTTGCCATGACTCATTTTTCATATACACAAAATACCACAGAGTACTCTATGGCCTAGCCGTGACTCATTTTTCATATACACAAAATACCACAGAGTATTCTATGGCCTAGCCGTGACTCATTTTTTCACTTCATCTTCAATAAAAACTAAACATACATTTATTTATTTCCAAGATTATAGAAGAATTTATCTCGGACATATACAGAGAAAGAACAGGGGAATATATCACTGAAGACTTCAAGAACTTACTTTGGTCAGTTACAGTGTCAATCTTTGCAATAGGAGGTATGATTGGAGGAATATCAGGAGGAACTATTGCTGACAGGCTTGGAAGGTGAGACAAAATTGTTTATTTTTTAAAACCAATTAGTACTCAAGATTCTTGGTTAGATAGCTGTGAACGTAATAAACTAATGTAGAATTTAGCTATTATTATTTTTTTTGTGTGTGAAATTAAAGTTGAAATTAGTTAAACCACAGAGGAAGACTGCTTAAAATATCTTTTCATTAACAAATATTTTGTTGCATGTTTGTTTTACAGTAAAGCCACATTGTGTTATCTGCTGTGTACGCCGCGGAGAATAGAACTCCGGATTTTAGCGTTGTACGTCTGTAGACTTACCGCTGTCCCACCGGAAGACATATTTTGTTGAATGAACTTTCACTGCGTAGTAGGTTTCCAATGCTTGTGACCCTAATAATAAGTCTTCAACTGGGGCCAAAAGAAGATATACAAACCCTATCGATTCTTTGGACCTTTACTCTTTTAAGTCGATTCAAATATATATTTTGAATATTTCATTTCGATAGCTTGTTTGTTTGTAATTAAGCGCAAATCTACACAATGGGCTATCTGTGCTCTGCCCGGATTCTAGCGTTGTAAGTCCGCAGACATACCGCTGTGCCACTGGGGGGGGGCATATCATTTCGAGTGAGACTAAGCATGATATAATATAGTTACGCTACGTACTGCAAGTCAAAAACTGAATGCATTTCAGGAAGTTTAACTCTTCAGAAAAATATTACATTATCTTCGATTGTAATTCTGATATTTAATATTATGAGGGAAAGTGGAAAAAAGGGATATTTACATACTTCCTTATTTTGCTTTTAAACAGTCAGCAGCACCCTAACACCCCCCAGTTGCGCTAAAGGATTGACTGTCACTCTTATAATGCACCCACAGCTTAAAGTAGGAGGGTGAAGTTTTTGTGGTATTGCATAGATTCGAATCCGGCTGGCCAGCTCCAAAATTCAGTGCTAGATTTTCTACAGAACCAACTTGCGCTCCAATTCGCTATGAGCTGAGTATTTTATTAAGTTTGAGTTCGTTATATATTCAAACGATATGGAGGCCTCGCCACGTCGTTAACTTCCATGTCGCCAAGTCCGGTCATTCTCCATCTGACAATCGTGCATTTTGATGATAGCCTTGTAGCGACGTATGTGACGGTTGAAAGTATATATGATGGAAAAACGTTGTGTACACAGTTCGTGTGTCGCTTTTCCAGGGAGGAATTATTCTCGGTTGTATGCTTATTGTTACATGGGGCAAGTAAAAGGCTTATGCCACTGACCTTTGTGAATTCTCACCTGTTACAAGACATCACACTTTGCTTGCCACGTCTGAGGTACAACTTTTTGTAGGTCTCTTTCTGAATGGTCCTGATGCCCCAAGTTAATCCATATTTCTTTGTAAGTACAAAGGACGAAGTGAATAGAGATCTTCACTGACCAAAGTATATAGATGGAAATTGTAAAGCCTGATCTAAACACTTCATTTCAAGCTGAGTGTATGAACATTTTACACCGAAAAGGGCCGTTACATATCCTTCCCAAAAGCGACCAATTGTAGATCGTATCACACCATCTACGAAATGCCCTAATAATGCCAAAATGTAGTTCTTATACGTGCCGTTTCACCGCAACTTTATATCAACTGTGGTTACCATATGACTTGATTTGCCTATTTACAATTATTTTAATATAACAGACTCAGTCCTTTGTATATACGAGAATATTTCTCTTCATAATTATTGTTACCACTTATTTTATTAAACAGTCCATTATTTCGTATTGAAATTTTTTAACTATCTTCTTGTTTTTTTCCCAGCTTTGCACTTAACAACAACCAAAACAAGCATTATTTTAATATCTTAGTTTCATTCTAATTATAATTTTCCGTGGTAATTATGGCTAACACTGCTAAAGTTCTCCTGTTTCCAACTTATATATTTTAGCATTGTTCCAAGTATTATTTTCGAACATTAGCTCAGTTTCGTTCTAGTTATCAGTTACTCAGAACATCCTCGCTGGAAATGTTTACTTAATTTGTGTCTGAAGTTTATTGATGTATAACAACAATGCTGTTAATGAGCTAATTTTCATACGCACATGCTAGAAAGTACCAGAAACCCAAAACTCGTTCAAGTCTGGAATATAATTAAAACTTTTTAATAACATTAAAGCTATAGAATAATAAGAAGATAGGATTGAACGATAGGAAAGCTTTGATTTTAACTAAATTATCTTTAAAGAAGTTTCCAAATGCATATTTGTTAGTCTTATGCTATGTGCAAATTTTGTTTCGTGCTTAAGCTCCTCATTGATCTATTGAGAATATAAGCAGTAAATATGGATTTCGTTGAAGTCCTTGTTTTGATGGGCTGAGTGCTGTCCAATGATTAGCATTTCAGACTGGGGATGTGAGGTTCCGTTACCTTCCCCCAAAAACGTGTTCCGTTATAAGAGTGACGGTCATATCCAACTATTCCAAGATATACATTTGAATTGACCAAAGGTAAATTAGAATTTGGGCATGACAGGTATGTGATGAAATATAATTGCCGTTGACTTTGAGATGTTGCTGGAAGATTGTGAACTTTTGGCATATCCTTATTTATTATTTTATTAACGGTGCTAAAAGTTATGCCTAGATTTATCGCAACGGATATTGGGGTCAGAAGGTTCCCTTCTGTGACCATAGCCTTGACTTTGCAGATGAGGATATATCTCCATATTAGCATTGAATGTGGTTTCAGAGTTCATGATGTCCTAAAGACTGTGCTGAGTGGGTTTTTCTGTTCCTTTGAAGAAGGAATGTACCATTTTCCTTCAGACATAAGTTTACCGCAGAAGCATTTCAGTGTTGAATATCATGAATTCACTGGGAACCATATACATATAGGTGCTTAACAAGCCACTTTTGGCGCCATGCTGCTGCATATACAAGTCGTTCGGTTTAACTGCGACTAACTTCTTTTGGGAATTTAAGCTCCTCGTTTCTGGAACATTATAACTACTTGCTGTTACATTAAGGCCTTTAAAAAGTAACTTAGTTATTTCTATCAGCTTACTCGAAAAAAAATCTAACATGTCATGTTATAGTATTTCATTTTGCCTATGTTATATCATCGGTGTAAAAACAAATAATCTTATCGTAAGAAAATAACAATGAGTTCATAAATTTAGTTTGACTAAAAGGACTATTTTAATATTTACAATCGCTCATATATTGAAAACGAGAATTCATATGTTATCTGTGAATAATTTATAGGTTAGTAGCAAACACCCATTAAATTTACCCGAAGATTAGAGATTCTATCTTGTTTTTTTATCTCCCAGACAAGAAAAATAAAGAGCCAGGTTTCCAGATGGCGTCAGCAGGAAAAATTTTAGTACTCACAGTTCCTTGCCGGAAACATGCAGCTGGGCTTTTGGTCTCAAATCGCAATAAAAAAAAATGTAGATAGATAAATAAAATAAATATATTTTGAAACTGTATTTAAAGATAAATGAGCTGTGTGTGTGTGTGTGTTATTTTACAACCAAAAACAATTGTTCGAAACAAAGATATGTATATATATATATATATAGAAAATTATTTTTGTTAAGAATATCACGTAAAAAACTTACCATCTTTGACAATAACAAAAAGGTTAAGAAAGACCCCTTTCGAAACCATTAACCATTCGAAACTTTATAAGAATCTTGCTGTGAAATTTGTTTGATATTTGTTTTTTAAGACTCATAACGTAGGTAACTTAATATGTAGAATTATACACGGACTTTTCTTTACGTTAAAATACTTTTATTTGCGAGGTTGTGGCCCTCTTACTCCCCAGTGGCACAGCGGTATGTCTGCGGACTTACAATGCTAGAAACCAGGTTTCGATACCCGTGGTGAGCACAGCACGGATAGTCCATTGTGTAGCTTTGGGTTTAACTTCAAACAAACAAAACCGACCCTCTTACTACTAGGAGGGCCCAAAGCTCGCAGATAAAAAGAGGTGTATTTTAAGAAACATTCGTGTATAATGTAATTGATATGTTATTCCAGAATAACTTTGATTATTAAGTTAAAAATCATATTATTATTTTTATGGTACATACAATTGTTGAGTTTAACCGCAGTAAAATATAAGCCAGTTTTGATAAATATGTTTAACTAGAAGACTAACGTTCTTGTGCTTTTTTATGTTTTTCTTATTACAGAAGTGGATATGTGTCACAAAGTTGTTCTTATTAAATCCACACAACCACTGAATATCTATCACAGAGTTATTCTTATTAAGTCCACACAACTGCTGGATATCTATCAGAGTTATTCTTATTAAGTCCACGCAACTGCTGGATATCTATCACAGAGTTGTTCTTATTAAGTCCACACAACTGCTGGATATCTATCACAGAGTTGTTCTTATTAAGTCCACACAACTGCTGGATATCTATCACAGAGTTGTTCTTATTAAGTCCACACAACTGCTGGATATCTATCACAGAGTTGTTCTTATTAAGTCCACACAACTGCTGGATATCTATCACAGAGTTGTTCTTATTAAGTCCACGCAACTGCTGGATATCTATCACAGAGTTGTTCTTATTAAGTCCACACAACTACTGCTATATTTTTTGAAGTGTGTAAGGTGGAAGTCTATTAAAATCCCGTAATGTTTTAACAGGATGCCATAAAATACATTTCTTTTTGTGTGTGTAATTTTTCTTTGTTTTAAGAAGTCTTTCTTTTCTTCACAGGAAAGGAGGACTACTCGTGAACAATGTCATGGGAATATTAGGAGGAACTCTAATGGGAATTAGCAAGATGTCCCACAGTATAGAGATGCTCATATTTGGACGCCTTCTTATAGGATTTAATTGTGGTAAGTTAAGACCATTGGTCACTTCAATCTACCTATTTATTTGTACTACAAATGCCGTGCTGATTAACTAGAGTTCATTTCAAGGTATATTAAATTTTCAGCTCCTAAAACTAATGTGCTTAATGGAAAAGACAAAAAATTTGCACGAATGTTTTAATGACTTGTAATGCTAAACTAATATGCTACCGAATTATTATATTGATAAATATTTTAGGAACAATAATATATATATATAATGGGTACTATCTACTAATTGGTGATTTTAAACTTAGAAAAGTTGTTTAGAAAGGTTACAAACGTTTAGAAATTCCCACGATGAAAACCCAGTAGTTTAAGAATCAATAATTTAATAGGCATGATCAAGCAAAACATTCGTAAGTCCGCTCATCTTCAAACACAATTAGGCTTAGTATATTAAGTTTTTAATATATTCGTATGAATCAACCGAATCGTGATGATTTTGTAAATCTTATCTTTCTCTAATCGTGCGATTTGAATTTCAGGCCTTGTCAGGCCACAACCTCAGATCCTGAAAAGTTCCAAATAGTTATTTTCGTGTCCGATGTAAGTTTTTATTTTTACTGTTCTCTTGCAATCTGACTTCTTTATAAGAACTTGGCAAGCAAAGTCATGGCTTTTCGTTCTTAGCGTACGTAAGGTCAATAAAGTGTTTTAACACTTGGAGTTCTCTATCAACTGGTCAGAATTTCTTCCTTTATAGTCTTTGTCAGAGCGAGTTCGTTCCTAATAAAGACACTTTCTGACAAGACTCTCATACTGAGAACATTCTTTTATAAATATTCTATAATTCTTGTATTTATTCTTTCTATCTTAACATTACAAACCATCAAGTTTATCGCTAAGCCATCAATTCTTGTACACCAACTATGAGAACTATTATAACTAAAAGTTAAGCTAAAGTAATCATCTAAGTTAATCTAGCTAGAGGAAGTTTGCTAGTCAACAGCATCCTCCGCTAATTCTTGGGCTACTCTAATTGAAAAGTGGGATTTGACTGTCATTTTTATAACTCATCTATGGCTCCATAGTACGAAGTGTGAAGCATTTATAGTCCAGCACGCTAATCACTTAGCCACACCCGGCCAACTGTTTAGTGTATTTCTATTTGTTGTTTTTGTTTGCTAAAATAGAAAATAACAATGTAAAGTTCCAAATCGTTATTTTTTCCGACATCTATGGTAATTTTTGTTTTTTAAATCTTGAGAACTTAGTTAAATATAATTAGTATTCCAAATTCGAAAAACTTTTGGAGGATTATATTCTCAAAGTAGTTTGAACAGGTTTCCAGATTCCTTGGTTTTCTCTGGATAATTTCTTTAATCACAGTCATCTGCTCTAGTAATTTTTGTTTGTTTTGCTAAGAAGTTAACTTTTGACTTCATAAACGTCTGAATTTAAATATTATATAACTTACATGTGTACGCGAAATTTCTCGCCCATTTGAAAGTCAAGATAAATATAGTTACTCTTCATCATTCCCTAAATATAGGGAAGTTGACATATACAGCAAAGAAGAAAAAAACTACAAAGACAAAGATACTGTGTTTTGTACATGCCAAGTTATAATATATCTTACTTTTTATTCTTGTAATCTTTTACGTTTAGGTCTAACAATTTTACTTTTTTTTCTTGTAATCTGTTACGTTTAGGCCTAACAATTTTACATTTTTTTTTGTAATCTGTTACGTTTAGGTCTAACAATCTTACTTTTTGTTTTCTTGTAATATGTTACATTAAGGCCTAACAATTTTACTTTTTTTCTTGTAATCTGTTACGTTTAGGCCTAACGATTTTACTTTTTTTTCTTGTAATCTGTTACGTTTAAATCTAACAATCTTACTTTTGTTTTCTTGTAATTTGTTACGTTTAGGCCTGAACACTGCCCTAGTGCCAATGTATCTTTCGGAGATTTCCCCACTTACTTTAAGAGGTAGATTAGGTAAGTTTTATTTTTGATTAATCACCTTTTGCAATTGACTGAAGAGGAGATAATAAAAGTTAGATTATCAGTTAATTGGTTTTGAAGTATGTAATATTATTTTTATGTTGATAAACAATATTTTCCGCGATAAAATGTTTTGTATAGGTTCGTTCTCGCAAAAGTAACTGAAATTGACAAACATTTGTCAACTGACAGACATGGAGAGACATTCTGTAAAATTACAAACATTAGCAATTCACGCAGTGGATATTAAATTATCTAAACAGTGAGTAATGACTTTTATTTATTTTGTAGATGTTTCCTGACCTTTTCGCAGAAACGCTTGTTTCGGTTTTGGTTATTGTTAATAATGGGCTGCCTTTGTTTTGCCCACCACGGCTAACGAAACACTAGTTTTAGCTTCGTAAGCCTGCGGACTTACTGCTGAAACACTGGGGGCAAATATATATATATATATATATATATTTGTTTCTGTATAGTCAAGCACAAAGCTATACAATTGGTTATCTGGCTGTGCCAACCACAGGTATAGAACCCCAGTTTTTAGTGTTATAATCCTTCAGATCTACGGCTGAGCTTGCAAAATCGACCTTCTTTCTTGTCGTTTCGTGTATTTAGAAATTATCTTTAAAAAATTCATTTTTCTCTTACTTTCATTACTATTGATCATATTTAAGTTCATGCAACTGCACAAAACTGTATTATTAAAAATTTAAATGTATTTATTTGTTAATTTTTTCAGAAGTTTAACACTTTTATAAATTGAAATGATGTGTAATTTATTTGCTTTTTTATATTCATTCTCCCTCTCAAATCTAATAATGTTATGGGAATATTATTATCTCAGATTTCCATCTTAAAAAACAACAACAACTAAAACTCTCAAATACATGTAAATGTTATATTTATTATGAAAAATACTCTTCATAACCTGATATTAAAAAGAAAAATGTATTTTTTACATACCTTTGTGGCGAAGAACTTAGCTCTCACGGATTTTATTTCTTGAATAAAAACACAGTATCATGAAACAAACTGTTTGTTAATAAAAGCTTATCAAGATGCCAACTAGAAATTTTATTGTGACAAGTTTTAAGGTTGACTAAATATTTTTTCTTAACAAAAGATAGTAAGAATTACCTTTCTACTGTTATATTTCTCAACATATGAAATACTTTGAATCACGTTTTCCTAAAGCCAAGATTTACACATTTGATGACACGATGAAATAGCCGATTTGAATATTTTTATACCTTTCAGGTAATTTACATATTTATAAGTTGGGTATAATTATTATTCATGAATATTTTACAGTTTTGTGCACCTTAGACATAGACAGCTCGTCACAAATTCTTTTTTTTTAAATAACAATAGATAATTTTTAATAACAACAAACTCCACGTCAAATATTGAACTCTCAGTGGAAAAACAAAATCAAGGCAACCAGGAATTTCATAAAGGTTAAATTACATTTATTAATATAGCAGATCAAAATAATATATATATTGTTAGTGTCTGGTCGTTTGATAATTACTCGTAAAAATTCTTTCCGAAGAACTTCAGCGATACAAGTCCTTTCTCAAATAAAACTAGTTTATTCTTTCTCAGTTCAACTATGCAATACACTTAATTTCCACAGACACTTTAACTTAAACACACGCCACAATTATCAACGAACGATTTACGCACTTTATTTACTACCGCGCTTGACTCAATTGTCCGTCTATATCTTCAATCTCTCTGTCTGCTATCCCTTTTCGGTTGATTGTCGGGCTTATATATTAGAATACAGCACATCTAGCAAACACTCGAGCATTCACGAACCTTAGAGATACTCATTACGTGTTACCAGAGTCACGTGACTTCCGCTGACGTAACAATATTAAGAAAATTAAAAGTACAACAAACTTATTGCCTAAGTTTGCTATTTTTTTCCTTTGTGTATGTGATAAAAAATAACTGAAGGATGATGAAATGAGATTACCTTAATAGATTATATGTAGAGGTTATTATATACAGATTAAAAACCTTAATACATTATTACTCTCCATATTATTTTAAAACATTTTAGGTATGGTTTATATTTCGTTAACTTTGCATGCCACTGAAAGCAGAATTCCAGCGTATTTAGAATCCACGGTGGCTAGTTATGGTTATAAAACGAGTGCAATAAAACGAGTTTGAATTAAATACCATTGATTCTGTACTTTTTTTGTTTCAAATAATATCACTCATATACACGGAAACATATATATATATATATTATTGAATTCCTTTTTTGACACTGAGTATCACTATTGTTGCCAGTTTTACTTGTAATACTCTGTTAAACATTGAGGTGTTATATTCTATTATTGAGTTCATTTTTTACATTGAGTATCGCTATTGTTGCCAGTTTTACTTGTAATACTCTGTTAAACATTGAGGTGTTATATTCTATTATTGAGTTTCTTTTTTTTACACTGAGTATCGCTATTGTTGCCAGTTTTACTTGTAATACTCTATTAAATATTGAGGTGTTTTATTTTATTATTGATTTCCTTTTTTACATTGAGTATCGCTATTGTTGCGAGTTTTACTTCTAATACATCTATTAAATATTGAGGTGTTATATTATATTATTGAGTTCCTTTTTTACATTGAGTATCACTATTGTTGCCAGTTTTACTTCTAATACTCTATTAAACATAGAGGTGTTTTTATTTTTATTATTCTTGAATAACTTTGCATCGCAAGAACCATAATCAGATTTTAATCGTTTGAATAAATATAGATTAGAAATATATAACTCTCTAAACTTTAACTGAAGAACTACAAGATCTCTGCTATTTAACGAGGCGATTTTACATGCAAGTGATAACACAATAAAACGTGTATGATATCATTTGATCACGTGCCTCTTCTTGCTACACAAGCTGTACTATTTTTTCATAAAGTTTCGTCTCTCTTAGACCGTCTTTAATGTTTTTATAGGGAACAGTACCTTTCTTATTTAGACCTCGTATAGCCTGGTGATTTGAGCGCTCGACTCGCGAGTCGTGGGTTCGAATCCCCGTCGCCGAACACGTTTAACCTTTTAGCCGCGGGGGCGTTATAATGTTACGGTCAATCACACTATTCGTTGGTAAAAGAGTTGCGCAAAAGCTAACGGTGGATGGTATTGACCAGCTGCCTTCCCTCTAGTCTTTCACTGCTAAATTAGGGACAGCTACTTGGAGAGGAGATGGGCGCCACCAGGTAAATCTATCCGAGAATCACCCATGATGCATCAGCATCTAAGGCTCCCCAACGGTCTTTTTTATTATGTTTGGATTCCCCAAAAAAGCAATATCTCTTGGTGGACTAAATACCTCATGCACAATCCAACACCACTGAGAAGAAACAGATGCTATTTATTTGAAAACTATTTACTAAGTGTACTGCAATTTATCAACTGTGAATTGATAAAGCATTCGGGGATTTGAATATTAATTAATAAAAAAGATATATCAAAACACTAAAATAAAAATACATTCTGATCTTAAGAAGAGGTGACATACACAAAAGAGTTGCTTCATCTTAAAACCTGATGTTTGGTTTGGTAATGGTATAACGTTTTAGTAGTATCTTAATATCGCTACATAATTACGTATTGTAGTCTATAGTTTTCAATTTATATATTTTAGACAGACTAATAAAAATCGCTGATCAAAGATGAAAAGCACTTTACGATTATTACAGTTTTAGGATGTACAATAGGTATCGATAAATACACACTCTGGCTAGTGAATAACTCTGTTCACTTCATCTATACACTATGGCTAGTGAAGAACTATGTTAATTTCATCTATACATTCTGGCTAGTGAAGGACTCTGTTAATTCCATCTATACACTCTGGCTAGTGAAGGACTCTG